TGCATGTAGCAGATGCAAATCTGCCATGTATATCATGGAAGGTAGGGCTGGCAGAGGAGGGCAGCAGGGGAGGAAGCCAGGAGGTAAGGGGTAATGGCAAACCACTCCAGTATCTCTGCCAAGAAAACCCCAAATGGGGTCACAGAGAGTTGGACAACAACAAAACTCTTTTGTGATTGTCTTGCTCGTATTACAAAAAGTTGTCCATAAAAGCAGCAGGCGGTTTTAAATTGTTGGCTGGCCACACTCAGCGCCTTGTTGCCTTGAGATGCCTAATAAACTCTTTTTAATTTTCTCGACCTGTGTTGGCTTCATTATTGAGGGCAGAGGCCTGAACAAAGACTTTCTTTTAATAGGACTCAGCTGGGACGTGGGAGAAGGCAGTAGTGAGCTTCCTTCTGTCTGGTCCCTCAAGGTAGACCTAGGGGCAATGAATGGCAGTTACTGAGAAAAGGAAATTGAGACTAGGTGTGAGAAAGACCTTTCTAACCAGCTAGTGGTGTAAGTGGAATGGGAGCGTCAGGAGGGGGCCCGCTCCCCCCTCCACTTGGAGGATCTCAAGGAGAGGCAGGGCCAAGGGGGTTCCTTGCTGGACTAGAGGGCCTACGTAACTGAGGTCCTGGGACTCGGCCGGGGACTGGCAAGACAAACTTGGTTTTTTGTTTTGGTGAAGCATTAAGCTCCTACTATGTGCCAGGCTGCACCTACTGTGTGAGGTGCTATGAATACAATGACAACAGTAAAACATTCCCCACCCTACAGGAGCTTATTACACGCAGGGACATGAGTGATTTCAGGGGGAAGAGAAACACGACTTAAAAAAAGCCCATCATGCCATTCTGATGACGGCCTTATGATGCCACCTTCCTGTGGTCCTGGACGCTTCCCCAGAGGGTGGAATCAAAAGTCTCCTGGGCCCCCTCCCTTCCCACCTCAGGGAGTCAGCTCTTTCTTGGAGGCTCTGCTTCAAAGCATTTCACCCAGAGCACTCATTTTCTTGTTCAAGGCTGTTTGCAAACGGAATAATCACTGTTAATTTTCCTGCTCTTCCGCACTGACAATAAACCCTCTTTGTAATCAGTGTTTGTGCCTTCCAGAGCCCACTCAGAAGATGGTGCTGCCTTGTGGGGGCTGGGGGGGCTGAGGGGATCCTGCTCTTAGGGCTATTATCTTTTTTCTTTCAAGTGAAACATCAAAGGAGCTTCATACAAATAACAAAGCAAATTTGGGTCAAATTTAACATGAAAAGAATCAAAACAACATTATGTATTATCTTTTTCATTCCCAAGGAAAATAAAAACACTCCTGGAACATCTGAGTCTGACATATGAACCCCACCACTCCCCCTTCCCTTTTCTCCTCTCTCTTCCCTTCCCCTCCCCCACTTCTCCCCTTCCCCAAATGGGCTCCAAAGCCTCTAAGCTCTAGGTTATGAGTTTCTACTCGTTTTGATGCACAGGGATTTATTAGGATCTGGGCTTCCTGGCTTTGGAACAGAGGGAGGAATCTCAATTTTTATCAATTGTTCTTTTCTCACTCTTTCAATAAATGAATGGAGCTTAAGTATAATAGCCCATAACTTCACAGGGGCCTTAGATAAAACTTATCAAAATGATGTAACTGATTTCTAGGTGAGGAAGGAGAAGTGTGTGTTCACAGGATTCAGGGGGATTGTTTCCTCTTGTTCAGAGGCTTCCTAATTTCTCCAGCCAAAAGATGGCAGCACTTGGCGCTGGCCGCTGAATGCAGCTTGGTATATGTGGATGAGACAGAAGAGACCTCTCCTCCAATGCTGAGAAAAGTGGGCTTCATGGAAGCTTGGCTTTCTGTTAGATATTGTCAGGCAGCCCCTGGGTCTGGCCTCTGGGAGCTGCTTTGTCTGGTGATAGGGTGGGGTCAAAGGATAGCCACTTGCAGCAGACTTTAAAGGTCATCTCGGTCAGCCCCCTAATTTTGTTGATGCAAATTAACCCTAATTCAAGGCCCTTAGAGAGGAAGGAAGCAGTGGATAGAATGCTGAGCCTGGAGCCAGAAGGACCTGAGTTCACATGCATCCTCAGACATTTACTGGCTGTGTGACCCTGAACAAGTCACTTCACCCTGTTTGCCTCAGTTTCCTCATCTGTAACATGAGCTGGAGAAGGAAATGGCAAACCACTCCAATATCTCTGCCAAGAAAGCCCCAAATGGGCTCATGAAGGTTCGGACAAGACTGGAAAAGGACTGAATGGCTCAGCTTCAGGCAGCCTGAAAATCTAGCCCGTCTTGACTTGCAGACCTAAAGCAGGGAAGGTCTTGATGGCTAACTTCCTCATTTTATAGATGAGGAAACTGAGGCCCAGAGAGGTTCAGTGACTTTCCTGATGTCCTCAGAGAGGAGACATGATCCCGGGTCTCCTGACTAGAGCCAGTGTTTTCTCTGCTGTGGTCCATACTGTCCTTGGGGACTTGTCTCTTCAAAGCCACACAACCCCAGCTCTTTCTGTTGTCATACTGCATGAACCGGAGGTCTGTCGTTCTGGTCCCCTGCCCTTGACCCATTCCTGCTTGTCCAGGCCTTTCCTAGAATGGCACTCCCAGACATGAGCACAATCTTGCAGAGATGGCCCAACCAGGGCACAGGACAGTGGGGCTGTCCCCTCCCTGGGCCTGGACATCGTGCTGTGCTGAGCTTCACCATAGGATCCCACCAGCTTCTCTGGCTTCCGAGTTGTTTTCCCTGGCTGCTGTGCTCCCTGCCGTGCTCTGATCCCCCAGCTTCTCCTCCGGCCTTGCTGTCTGCCTGGCCTACACAGATCCTCACCTTCCAAGGAGCCTTTGCCATCTAGCCAGGCTTGCAGGGCCCCTCATTGGGGAAAGAGAATAGAGATTGGACATGGTCCCTGCCCTTGAGTGACTGATAATGGAATGGAAGAGACAAGGCAGATTAACATGTAATTAATTTAGATAGAAATGGTAATTAGATGAATGGATTGAGGAGGACCTAGACTAAAAATGTGTTTGTGGGCATGTTTATAAATAGGAAGTGGTCTGGGAAAAGAAGAAGAAAAACAATTCAGGTCTGGAGACTCAATGTGTCACTGCCTGAAAGCTAATCTAAGCGCAAGGTTGGGCTCCGGGCCCTTTTCAATGGAATCAGGACCTGAATTCAGCCAATCCTTCTCTGGCACCACTGGCTTGGAGGTGGGAACCCACCCCATGCCCTGGGGACTGATTTGTGTTCATGGGGCAGGATTTCTAGAGAAAGGGGGCCTTAATCTCTGGTTTCATTGGGATTTGGGGGAGAGGCTTTCTTTAGGGATACCTCAGCCTTGGCCAATGACCAGAAGGCAAGGTGGACATGAGATCTTGAAGAGAAGTGAGAGGGTCTGCTGGAGTAGGGGGCGGGTAACAAGGGAGAGGAGCTCCAGTGTGAGCCTGCTCTTCGAGGCATCACATTGCACTGGGGGCCTTGCTGGAAGGTGGAGGAGGAATGGTTAATTTTACTCACAAGAATCAGGTAAGGAAAAAGGGGAGTATGTTAAGAAGATATGCCTGTGGGAGGACATGGAGGGACTAAAACATGGCGGAGAACGTTTGGGGAAAGGCCAGTGGAGGGAGAAATAGAAGTGACGTTCTCATGGGAGTTCACTACAGCCCACCTGGCCAGAAGGAAGAAGTGGAGGAGGAGGCATTTGGGAAGTAGACGATAGGCCCTGCTAGAGGCAGAGTAGAACTGTAATGAGTCACCTCAGTTAACCAGAACCTCCTGGCCTTCTTTACCCAAATCAGAGGAGGTAGCTATTTGGCTTGCCTTAGGATGCTGTCTTCCCTCAAAACAGGCCAAGCAAGGCTTTAACAAGATCTGTACAGAAGGTGGAAACGGCAAGTCCTTGTGGACAAAATGGAGCAGCTGGAGGAGGCTAGAATACAATTGGATGAATTTGGAATTGGTTGAATGGGGTGGGATGTGCAGGGCTGAGCCTGAGGTTGGGTGTGAGTACTTTGTTGGAAAAGGAATAAACAACAACAAACATGCACATGCGCGCACACACACACACACACACATGCACACATGCACATGCGCACACACACACACACAGAGAACTGGGGATGATTAGATTGAAGAAGAGAATATTTTGGGGAGGGAGCACGATAGCTTAAGTCATCAGGAGGGCTGTCCTCAGAAGAGACCACCGGCTTGTTCTGCCTGTTGTCCCACAGAGCAGAACTGTGAACATCAATAGAGCTGGAGAGAAAGGCGGAGAACGCTCAAGGAAAGGGGAGCCGGAGGAATTAGCAGCACCCAAAAAGGGCTGGTGGGTCCATGGTGGGACTGGGCATGGCCGAGGCACAGCGAGTTTTCTAATGGTCTGGATGACCTTGCCTTGGGAAAATCACAGAGCGCCTCTTTTCAGGCTTCTGCTGGGAGTGGCTGGTCCTGGATATCCTGCGAACGGCTAATTCTGAAATGAAACAATGGGATATGGGACAAACTGCAGACAGAGGGACTGAAGGCCTAGGAGGCTGCTGACGTACATGGGGCAGAGGCTGAGGGATGTGGGCTCTGTTACTCTGAGACTTTAGGTTTTGAGGACAGTTACAAGACTAACTGTGAAATGAGACATGGAGGTGAAGCATATAGAAAGTGATCAGCCCAGTACTGGGGAAAGATAACAGGCACTTAGACCCAGAGTGCCCGAGTTCAAATTCTGTGTTTGCCATTGACTACCTCTGGGGTCCTGGGCAGATTACTTCCTGTGCTGACCCTCAGTTTCCTTGTCTGTAAAATGAGAGGTTGGACTGGATCATTTCCAAGGTCTGTCCTCAAATGGGATCCCTGGGGGTGTGGATGAGGTAATATCACATTCTTGGCCATCCCTGATTATAAATAGCCAATGGTTTACATCACTGGGGATTGTTTCTGGAGGAACTTGATTTGACCATGAGTAGAGCAGATGTAAGCCATGGAAGAATGCGTAACTTTGTAAAAGGAGCTTTACTGTTAATTTTCCTTTTAGGTGTTTTGCCAAGAATAAAAGGACAAGTCTAATGGTCTCATGTGGCCTAACACGCGGGTGAAGTTGGCTTTGGGGTCCACGGCCTCTTGACATGAGAATGTGCACAGGGACACAGATGTGGGTGTGAGCTGGCTTCCAGGGCTCCCCATTGTTCCAATCCAGCTCTGGTGAAGCTCCCTTCCAGTGGGGCCTCAGCTCTGCGACTGTGCCTCCCTGGGGTGGCACAGATTCTCCATTCCCTCTTAGTTCCATGCATGATTCATATGGCATGTAATCATGCGTGTACCAATTTTTCCCCCTCATCTCCTATGATTCTTTGCAAGAGGACTGCGTTGCCAATTGCATTTAATAACTCCTTGTAAGGACATGTGGGCAGCAACCATGTTTTCCATCGTCTTACCGAGCCTAAATCCCTAACTGTGAATTTCAAGTGGATGAGCCCTCTCATAATAAAGCATTGTGGAACAATATGCCGCTGTCACAGAAAGATTTGCTTTGACTGAAGAATTGTCTGCCCATGAGAGAGTAAATGTTCTTGAACTAAATCAGAGAAAGAAAGGTAAGTTGAGTTTTTTTTTCTTGGGGATTATATTGCAAATACTTGAACCTTTTTTGGTTTCTTTAAAACACTGAGCAGTCGCTATCATAGCCTTCCAATGAAAACTCTTTATTAGACAATAGAGGCTGCTTCTGCCATAATCGGGTTATTGATACCAATGGGAAGTCTCCTGTTGGACATTACCATCTTGCCTTTTTTTTAAATTCAAGGATGATGACATTTGAATTCCTGACAGGGACAGAATTGACATTTTCTGTTGTGAAATTGGAGTCCCTTTAGGGGAAAATACTGAACTCTTATTTTAGATATTGTCATTATGCTATTTGATATTTAAGTAAGATGAAATATGTCTACTCAGGCTCAAGTCCAGATGCTAATGCCCTTTTCACAAACCCAAACCAGCCAATGGAAAAATGGGAAGTTCACTCACATTGGGTTATTTGGCATTATTCAGGGAAAAAAAATAAAAGCTGAGCATCTTGAAATCAGCTGTGTATGTGTGTGTGTTTGTGCGTGCGTGTGTGTATGGATGCATGTGTGCATGTGTGTACCCACAGTGAATCTCTCTGGTCATTGGAAACTGGCTTCCATCTTCTCTGACTCCTGCGGCTGCTGAGCTGTGGGGCATTCCTTCCTTCAACCAGTGAGCAGGGACTGGGAAGGCCCCATTACAGTAGCCACGTGCTCCACCTTGGAGTCCAGTGTGTCTACAAGGGGGAGATGTGAGGAGGTTTCTGACTCGAAGCTCCAGAAGCACTTGAGAGCAGGTTTAGAGACTGAGAGAGATAATGGGGCTTCCTCACTGATGAGGAAAGCCTGGCCAACTGGATCAATTGTTACATTGCATTGCCCCGCACATTTTTATGCAGTGAGGTCTGGGTAAAATCTCTCCCTTCAGCCTTGAGAATCTGAAGAAGACGGTGGAAGGTCAGTTCCTATAGTTCTCTGAAATCCTGTATGGGGGTGGGGGCCTGCATGAATATGTGGGCATTGGGCTTGGGGCTACCCCAAGGTAACCCTAATTCCAGCCTCCAAGAAGTCACCTTAGAGGTCCACCTGTGGCCAGGCTAACAGATCCCAGGCCCGGGAGCTTATATCATCTCAGGCTCACTAGGCTGCTGCCCAGGGCAGAAAACATCTGTGTTAGGTTGGAGGTGGGTCACCTGCGCTCAAGGAAAGAAATACAGAGCAGAAGAGGCAGCTCCAGGCTCATGCTTTTCTGCACAGCACACCTTGTCACCGTCACGTGTGAGCAGCTCCCAGAGCTGCCCAGAAGGGGTAGGGGTCGGGGTGGAGAGAACTGTCCCCTTCCTCCCCTCCCTCATGGAAGTCTGGGGGACAGGCCATTGGACAGATGGCAAGAGAGAATGGAAATTGTTTTACCTTTCATGCCTGCTGACGGGGAGCTCTCCTGTTTAGTGGTAAGGTGCCACATCCCGGGATGCCATCCCTGAGACCAAGGGACCGGCCTGGACCTTGCTTCATCATCTCAATATAGCAATGGAGGGGCTGCTGAGCTGTCCCACAACTGTCCCTCCACAGTGAGGTCTGCAGATATGCCCCAGCACATACGTGCATACAAAAGATGCTGAAAAGAAGTGCAAGGCCATTTCGGGGGTGGGGGCAGGGTTCAACAAAGGCTTCCTACCCCAACCGAAGAACGTGTGTGTGTGTGTGTGTTGTGCATGGCATGTGTGTGGTGCATGGTGTGTGTGTGCACATGTTGGGATGCTTAGGCATATGCAAGTTTCTTGGTCTTTTGGCACCCGTTGAATGTGCTCCTGGCCCCTTTGTTGGTCTCTGGGGACTTGCTCCTGGCCTTGGGGGAGGTGGACAGCAGCCGAAGCTTGGGGCTGCGGTGAGATTGTTCCCTGTGCCCGTAGCCTCAGAGTCCTGCTGATAACCGGGGCAAGCCCTATGGTGGAGGTCTGGGAGGCAAAGTCCAGCTGGTTCATCAGAGAGTCACTGCTGAGGGGAATGCTTACACAAGACCATTAGAGAGGACCCCAAAGAGGGTCCCCTGCACACCCTATTTTGATTTTTCATCCACGAAAGGAGGGGAGCAGCTTTTTCAGACTCAAGGTCTCTAGAGAAAAGGCTGCCTTTTGTTTCAGATAAATGACTCAGTGCTGGCACGGAGGTGATTTTAGGAGGGAATATTGACAAGGGCTGCAATGTCCATACTGCAGTACAGCAGCACTAAAATTCATCTGTTACCATCTGTCTTTATTTGGCTAAACCCCTGGATCAGACTCCACAAATTATCTGTGAGAGGCGTCTCCTGCTGCTGCTGCCGGGCTGGCACTGTCTGCTGGTTTTATAGCTTGTCCAAGAGCACTAATATTTCCTTGTGAAATGTGGATGAATCAGTTGGAAAATTATCTGCTTGTGGTTGGCATCACAGGACAAACTCACCTGACATTCACAAACAAGCCCCTTTCTTTCTTCTTTCAGGGTTACTTGAGCTGGTTTGTACAAAGCCAGCCGGGTGCTGGTGTCAGGATCCCATGACCACTGATTTTCACAGAGCTCATGGTAGAGACGTCCCTGCCCAAGAATTGTAGAGACGGTGCTTCAAGGCCGGCTCTGGTCTTCACTGCCTATGGGACTTGACCTAGTCTCTCTACGGAGATGGAGGTCTCAGTTTTCTCTTCCGAAAAGCACGGAGCTGGCCTGGATGACCTCGCTGTAAAGCAAAGGTGGGATCGGAGGCCTGCTTCAAAGTTCCAGCAGGCAGCCAGCTTGCTCCCTCCGTGGCCTCTCTCTTAGAACTCCCTTCCCTGCTGCTGCATAGAGCACGTTGAGCTTCACAGACCACTTCGCCTGCCTGGAGGGCAGGAGTGCTCTCTCCGGTCTTTGTCCCCAGTGCCCTTCACGAGACCTGGTGCATGGGAAGTGCTAGCAAAAGCGCTTTGAATCTCAAGTGGCCCCAAAGACACGATGACAGCAATGAGTGATTGGAGAGGAGGTGGGAGGGACGGCAGACGGCCGGCCCAAGAAGCAGAGGATGGCTTCTGGCCCGGTGGGCTGAGCCTCCAGGGCTGACGGACGGGAGGGTGCCCAGGACACGGCGCGGATGGATCCCGCAGGATGCGCCACGAGCCAAAGGCGTACATCGAGACGGTCCCGGCCCAGACCCTTTGGACCACTTTGGCTTAATCGCGCTGCGGAGGAGAGCCAGGGGCCAGCTCCAGCAGCCAGGTCTTACCTGCCCGGCTCCACCAGTGACTCGTGATGGAGCCTGTCATGGAGCTTCCCTCCGACCCGTGTCGGCCTCTCTGCTGTGACTGGCCTTCCAGCAATTGTTTTGAGGAGGGCGTCAGCTTTCCTGGCGCCCCCTGCCCCGCACCGGGGTTCTGGACAGTGCAGGGCGGTCAGGAAGGAGGGGCCCGAGGCGCACGGTCGGCTCCACTGCTGTCTGCTAGGAAGTGCTTGGGCAAATCACTACATCCTCCCTGGCCTCAGTTTGCTCCGCTGTAGAATGACAGGGCTGTGCTAAGTATTTTCTCAGGCTCCTCTCAGCTCAAACCCCGCCCTTCCTCCTCCCTCCCCCCCATTCTGTGCTGTCTCCAGTGGTTTGGATGCATCTGAGGGCCTCGCACCAGTACTAGCTTTCTGGTGAGTTGTTTGTCTCTGAAGTGGCCAGACAGTGTAGAAACCCACTGTAGGAATCCATCAGAGCAGTGTCCCTGCTACCACAAGCAGCGTCTGCTGTAGCTCCAGGTCCCAAGCAGGGCTGGCAGCAGTAACCGGCATGAACGGATGAGTCACATTGGGCTCCCATGTCTTTGCTCAGTGCCTTGCACTCAGCTGGAGATTAATAAGTGGGTATGTTTTGGCCTCTGATTCTGTCACTCCAAACCTCAGCTCTGACTGGGTCTCAGACCTTCTTGGGCGTTTTTTATACCTTCCTATTACTGTATGTTGAGGAATGAATGCCTTGATTAGTTTCATGGCGCTGAGCTTTCTTTGCCCGAATGGCCCAAATCGTGGCGCCTTGGCTAGAGCCCTGGGGGCGGAGTTGGACTGGGCTGGACTCCCAACTCTGCTTTCTCCCTGTGTGACCTTCGTGTGTGCCCTGAGCCTCAGTTTCAATGTCTGTAAAAAGAGGGGATTGGATCAAACGACCCTTTCAGCACTCAGTCTGGGATCTGCTGCTTTTCCAATGAATTTTAACCAGCCCACTTGTCAAAGACAGCAGCAGCAGCTGCTCCCTCTGACACCGACCCTTTAAAGTCAACCAGATCCCATGCTGAGCTAAATATGACCCAGCCATGACCAAGGACTGATCTGACAAAGAGAGATCTGCAGGATTTCCCGAGTAGGAGCTGGGGAAAAAGGAAACCCCCCTCCCACTTCACATATCTCTTTTCGCCAAGCAAATGAGTAAGTCGGAAGGATGTGGTTCCAATGTGGAAACCCTTTTCTGACTTCCTTCACTGCTGACCATCATCAGGTCTTGTAGCACTTGCTGTGCATGAAAATGGGTGGGCCTGACCGCTGCAGGCCTAGGGGGCTCTGTGGATCAGTCTACAGGGAGGGGAGAGAAGGTGGGGGAGCCTTTTGGGTCAGTGCTTCAGGGCTGGCCAGTAGTGTGGTAGGAACGCACCAACCCCATGGCAGACGGCTGAGAGGGAGAGAGGATGGCCAGCCAGGAGGGTTGGCTCCACGGCACCAGGGGAGTCCCTGACAATTCTGGAAGTCTCCAAGATCCTTTTAGAAACTTCTTGGCTGATCTACACATTGGGAAGGATGAACAGGAACATCAGAATTCTGCTGCTGCCACACTATTGACCTGAAAAGATGGTTCAATGTGACAAATCGAGTGGAAATGACTGCCCATGGGATTGACTTAGGACGAGCAGATGGTTTGGAGGGAGAATTGTTTGCTCTCCAACCGGTATATTTCCTATTTAGCAAAGCTGGCAAAGGGTCATGCAGAGCAGAGAGGTAAATTGTGGCCACAAAACCTTCTTTGGGTGTCCATCTATTTTCCACGTAGTAAAGGACAATGCATCTACGTCTGTGACGGCTCCCAAGGGTGGGTTGGGGGCACCTGCCCTTTTTTCTAATTCTAGAGTAAAACCAAAATGCCTCCCCTGAAGAATCCAACAAAGATTCCGTTGAAAATTGAATGGCTGAATAAAAACCTGGATCTGTTTGCTCAGTATGACCTGTCTTTTGTTTTAAGCAAATGAACAGACAGAGACTGTCCTTTGTGGGCTGCTAGAATCAGCTGTCTCCATGGGAAGGAGGAGTGTGTAAAGATGGTGTGTCCAGTGGCAGGTCACTAGGAAGGTGCCAGCTGGCAGGGTCTACCCAACATAAGGCCAGGCATAGAAACACAGGGGTGCCCAAAGAGAGCCTGAGGCCGCCACCATGAGGGGGAGCCCCATGGGGAGCAGAGTCCAGGGCAAAGGCCTCAAAGTGGCTGGGAAGCCAGCCCTTCCTAATCCGCCTGCTCCCAGGGATTTCCTATCGCTGCCCTTCACAACCTCTCCCTTTCCCCACACTGTCCTTCTCAATGCCCCCCTTAAAGGACATTCTGTCTCCGAGTCCGCCCTCTCACCTAGAATGCTCTTCCTCTTCACTCCAGCTTCTGCAATCCCGACTTCCCTTCAAAGCTCACGTCCTCCAAGAGGCCCTTCCTGGGCCCTCAGCCAAACTCCCTTTGCTGGTTGTTCACATGGTGTTTTCCCACAATGGAAAGTAAGCTCTTTGAGTCAGGGCCCCCATATGGTCCCTCTTGTATGCCCATTTCTGGCACATAAAACACGCTTTGACCTTGACTGGGTGAATGCCTGGTGGCTCAGAGGCCCTTCTTTTCTAGACACTGAGCCCAGCTCCCTGGCCTCAGCCTGTGTCTTCACTTAAGACCTTTCCCCCAGCCCCCTTCCCACTTCAGCCTGGGACTGATGCAAATTCCAGTCTTATTCACTGCTTCACACCTCAGTTTCCTCATTTGTGAAATCTGGTTGTAGGCTGCGCAAGCCTGCTGTTGTTTAGTGGATGAAGCCTTGATAACTTGCAGGAGAATCAGAACCTCCTTCTAATTCCCCTTCTGGGCTTAGTCTTCCTATTCTTATTGGAACGGGGAGGCTGGGTTCCCAGAGCATGGCCAAATCCTCCTTTCCTCAGGATTGTAGGGAAACCCTGACAGGTTGTGGCTTCTCTGCTATTGTTCACATGTCCATCTGGCGTACCCCCATCCCAGCCAGGAGATGCATCAATCTATGTGTGTGTGTGTGTGTGTGTGTGTGTTTCTATCTATACACATAAATGCATAAATGAGTATAAATACATGTGTATGCATAATGTATATATATGTATACATGCACACACACACACATACATATACACACAGGGAGAGAGAGAGAGAGAGAGAGAGAGAGAGAGAGAGAGAGAGAGAGAGAGAGAGAGGAGGAGGGAGGAGGAGGAGGAGGAGAGAGAGAGAGAGAGAGAGAGGCGCTCATGCACACACACGTTTCCTAACAGAATGGATTGGGAGAAGGAATAATTCATTATTGTCTTTGTAACCCTAATGGAGAGAGCAGTGGCGCAATGGGTCAGGAGTCAGAGGGGTTTGAGTCCTCACTCTGATGTATCCTACCTGTGTGACCTTGGGGAATTATCACTTAACCCTCTGGGCCTCAGTTTCCTTATGTGTAAAATGAGGGAGTTGGGCTCAGTGATCTCTAAGATCCCCTCCAGCTCCAAAATCCTGTATTTGGAAGTTCCTTAGCACAGTTATTTTTGTATTTAGCTTTAAAAAACTCTAAGGAAGATCAATTGATATAATTCTTTGTTCTAAGGAAAGTTTCTTTATAATGAGTATAATTTTTAAAAATAATATTTTCCCCCCAATTACATGTAAAACAATTATAACACTTTTTTTAAAGATTGGAGCTCTAAATTCTATCCCTTCATCCCTGCCCTCCCCCTCCCTGAGACAACAAGCGATTTGATATAGGTTATACGGGTGCAATCACATAAAACATTTCCATATTAGTCATTTTGTGGAAGAAAACTAACAAAAAAAGGGAAGAAAGGGGCAACTAGGTGGCACAGTGGGTAGAGCCCCAGCCCTGGATTCAAGAGGACCTGAGTTCAAATCCAGCCTCAGGCATATAACACTAAATAGCTGTGTGACCCCGGGCAAGTCACTCAACCCCATTGCTTAACCCCCCCCCCAAAAAAAAAGGGAAGAAAAAATTAAAAATAGCATGCTTCAGTCTGTATTCAGATACCGTCAGTTCTCTCTCTGCAGGCTGCTAGCATTTTCCACAATAAATCCTTCCGGATCGTCTTGGGTCCCTGCTTTGCTGAGAAGAGCCAAGTCATTCCCAGTTGCTCGTCATGCAATATGACTATTGTCACGTACAATGTGCTCCTGGTTCTGCTCACTCCATTTTGTATCAGATCATGAGAATCTCCAATTTTTTTTCTGAAATCACCTTGCTTGTCATTTCTTATAGCACAATAGTATTCCATTACATTCATATACCACAACTTGCTCAGCCATTCCCCAATGGATGGGCATCCCCTCAATTTCCAATTCTTTGCCACCACAAAAAGAGCTGCTATGAATATTTTTTGTACATGTGGGTCCTTTTCCCCTTCCATTGATCTCTTTGGGATATGAACCAAGTAGTGGTATTGCTGGATCAAAGGGTATGCAAGTTTTTAGCCCTGTGGGCATAGTTTCAAATTGCTCTCCAGAATAATTGGATCAATTCACAACTCCACCAACAGTACATTGGTGTCCTGATTTTTCCATATCCCCTCCAGCATTTGTCATTTTCCTTTCTGTCATATTAGCCAGTCTGATAGGTATGATGTGGTCCCTCAGAGTTGTTTTAATTTGCATTTCTCTAATCAATACTGGTTTAGAGCATTTTTTCATATGACTATAGATAGTTTTGATTTTTTTTTGTCTGGAAACTACCTGTCAATGAATATAATTTAGTTGTAGGTTTACATAAGCACAGCACCATAGGCCTTGCTAAGTGAGAAGGGGCCTGGTCATCTGATACTTTGTGGGAGAGAAATTGCTGCTTTGCTGTCCCTGCTGAGATGGCCTTCTACGCTGTCCCCTATCGATCTCCCCCTCCCTTGGTGGACTGGTCCACTTTCTTTTCATGACTCAGATGTAGCCCCTCCCCTCCCCTCCCTTCAAGTTCTGGAACGAAGCTGCCATATTTCCCAGCCCCACACTAGTCATCTTTCCTAGAGCAGAATGTGGCACAGTGCCTGCACTTATTGACCTCACAGGACATTGGACCCAAGGAGAAAATGTCTTGAGGGTGCTTCATGTTTCTTAAAGATCTAGAGAGATATCCATGTAACACTGTCCTCTGGGCCCCTTTGTCTGACTCACATGGGCACTGGAAGCTTGGGTCCCCAGATGAGTGACCACTACTAGTTTCAGGCTTTTAGGAGTCATCCTAAGGATGATTATTCTCCTAAACATGAGGTCATGAGCCCCTACCGGCGGACTTCCCCTTGACAATCACCAGGGAGATTCAGTTAGGTCTTCAGCAAAGGTATTTGCTGCAATGGCATGGCAGGGACAGTAGTTACAAAGGATTTCTTCCAACAACAGAGGCTCATTCTCCACAAATACACCCAGCACACAGGAGCATACACAGTGCAGTGCTACGAAGGTTCACATGTGGGGGCAAGGAAAGTCACTGTTGCTGCAGCCAATGGGTCTTGATTTCCTTTCTCTCTCTGGGGCCCTACCCAACGTTCATTTTGGGGCGTGGTCTTGGAAGCAGAGCAAGTTCATTGTCTTATTGGCCTCTTTGTATGATACTGAGCAATCCAAGCTCCACATTTTCTGGGAAATTTCCACTTTGTTCCTGAAGGTTTTTCCTTTTACATTTCAATGGCTCTCATTTAGCGGTTGGGCCTTCACTCTGGCAGCCCCTTTGACATCACTCATTACCATTATTAGTTATTCACATACTATTCAAGTAACATCTAATTTATTTGTTCAATTTGCTGAATTTCTTTTTTGGGGGGATGGGTTAAGGGAGGATTCTGGAGCTGCCAGAGCTTCCCTTCCGTGAAGGACCATCGTCTGTAACTTTGCATCCTCAAGAGCTGCCAGGGGCACCAGAAGGTTGTGCCTATCTGAAGAACCCAAGTCTTCCTGGCTCCCTACTTGATCTTCTCTCCAGTTCTCCATGTTTGTTATCCAATGGCAACAGCTGCTGAAACTTTGACGATTTGTCAACAATTATCCAAAGACACAAGATTTATTGATTCTTCTTTCTTCTCAAAAGAAACACTTCCTCATGAGAACAGTCAACAAAGGACCCTGGGAGGTGATGTGAGGATGCTGGCGTTTAGGACAAGTCCCTACAGTGCTCCACGTGTAGAAGGAGACGGAAAGCGAGGGAAGATATGACCAGTGTCACTTTTGGTGGCAACAGGCTGTTCACTGGGTCCTTCTTTCCAATTGTTTTCACTTTTCAGTGGCCTGGAAGAGGGATGTGATTTATTATAGTAATTTAGATATGCGTTCTCTGGTTTTCCTGATATACAAAGAGCTGCCACACGGACAGATGTCACTTAAACAGTTTGCAGAGACCATCCAGTGGGATAAGAGTGACCTTGGACCATCTTCCTTCTCTGCTGTGATTGTTCCACTTGGATAGAGCTGAGTCTTAGTGCACAAAATAAAAATCTTAGCAGCGGCAGAGGGCTCAAAGGATGCTGGCTCACATCCACAGTATATGAGGAATGACTGCAAAGCTACACAATTCTTTTTAAAGCAAGTGTCTCAGAAAATATCCACATGGATGAATGGTTGACCTGCAAGGGGTCGCCTTGGGAGGCCTGCTCTTGGGCCAAAGATACCCAGAACATCTGGGACTCTCCTTTTGGAAGAAGCTTCAGATGAAGTGATGAGAAATGCGAGAAGACCGTCCTCATTTTGGCAGACGGTCACTCTGTATTCTGTACTCCCAATGAATCGCCCATCTTATTGGCTGCATTTGACTCTGAATGAACTTCTGGTCTTTTGCAAAAAGCTTGCTCATTCCTAAAAGGCAAATATTTCCTACTATGGTAACTATCTAGAAGATTATGCTGTAGGCTTAGGTGGCAATTCCCAAGGTGGGCTCCACATGTTCTGAGCGATG